ATCAATATTATCACTAAAAATAGATCAATCGTTTATTATTATTATTATTTCCTTTTACCTGAAAACTTATTTTATCATTTCTCCCCCCCCCTTTCCCTCCCCCATAGAAACTAAAATAGTTACATTGATTTATTGATTGATTTATTCGTTTTTCTTTCTTCTCTTTTCTTTTCTTTCTTCTCTTTTCTTTTCTTTTCTTTTTTTTTTAATTATACGTATGTAACAAACAATTATTACTAGTTAATTAGTTAGTTAGTTAGTAATTTAATTATGGATTCTTTATTTTATTAGATAGTAAATGTATTGTCTAATTATTGTTTATATGAATGGAAACATATAGGTGTATGTTAGTGGTTTTCTCTTGTTTTTTCTCTTTTTTTTTCTTTTTTTTCTTTTTTTTTGACGATCAGCAACTAAAAAATTGATATTTTCATCATGAATTGATTTTTATAAGTGCGGGGGGTGGGGTGAGATTATTGAGATAAAGAAAAGAATTGAATCATTTTCATTTAATTCACAAGTTTGTTTTTTTTTGTAGTGTAAACAATGATGGATAGTGACTAGCAGTGGAATCCACGACACTGTTTTCGTCCTATTTGGGACTCGTCAGCTGGATGTACCTATTTGCATCTTAAAGTTGATGTTCATTTTAGGACTCGAACTCAGTATTATTCACTTCAAACGCCATTGTGTTATTTACTTAGCTATTGAATCCTGATAGTCACTTGCTTGTAAAATGAGGTGAAGCTTAAATTCACTTGATATTGTTTGGCTTGTATCTTTCCATATATGCCAATAACAGACTGATCATTTGCAGTCTTAAGCCTTAATAGGAAGATATAAGCCAAACAATATCAAGTGAATTGGAGGTGTTAAATTTATTTTATTATTTAACTTTAACACTTAGATATTGGTACAAGGAGGCACCAAATACATATGCGCCACACGAATCTCATTTGATATATGTGAGGGCTGTGATACTGCCCAGGTGCCCAAACCGTACCAGGTGGTTTTCTTAGGGGGCCACACAAAGAGCCTTCGACCTGAATGTATGACCCACAAGGACGTGGAGCATCGTAAGGAGATGCAGTCCCATGGTAGCCGGTGACCAACGATTGGTTCATACGCCATTTGTTCCCACAGGATACTGGAGCCAGCCCATGTGCACCATTGATTTGGGATCCGGTTAAAGCCGGTGCCGGACATTCGCTTTTCGTCCTTTCATTTTCTTAAACAACACCTCCGCCACGAGAAGGTAGTGAGTAGGACTTCCCTTGCAGAGGCTATATAAGCATTGCCATGTGAGAGTGGACACCCCCACTCTCGGCAGTACCAGGGCATTTGGGGAAAATCTATTCAAAAAAAATTAGTTTGATCTCATGTAGAACTGAAGTGAATGTTTAATGCTCAAGAATCATTAAACTAATACAAAGTAATTACTCAGTCCTTCCAGATTCCTCTTTTTTGCTTTCCTTCAGAATTTTAAATTATGGCTTGTATCATAATGCAATTTGAGGATTTCCTATCCACCTCCAGAATCATTTTCTGATTTCCTCTTCAGTTGCAAGCTGGTTTTTTCTCTCCTACAGTAGGTTATTGTTAATGGTATCCGATCGACAACGAACATTGAGTATATTGAATAGACAATTGTTTATAAATATTTGTACAGTCTTGATGATGTTTGTAGTAGTTCTCCACGTTTCAGCTCCGTACAGTAGAACCAACTGTGTTGACGTTCATATTGAAGATTTTGACTTTGATATTGGTTGAAAGTCAGTTGTTTCCAGTTCCATATGTTCATTAGTTGTAGGAATGCGTCATTGATTTGTCAATCCTCGACTTTACGTCGAGATTCGATCCTCCTTGTTCATCAATGATGCATTCTAGTTACGTGAAGACTTCAACATCTTCCAGAGTTTCACCATCAAGTATGATTTGATCAACTATACTTTCTATTTATAATTAAACTATAAAATTGTACAGATTTATACTTTAATAATAATGACAATGTATCCAAAATTAAATCTATATACAATAGTTAAACAGTAGAGATAGTCTCTATATAAAATACTCACCTATAATTTAGGATATAATAATTCACAATGGAGCATAGGTCACCGACCACCATTCTCCAACCTATTCTGTCATGGGCCTTCTTTTCTAGTTCCATCCAATTCTTGTTCATTTTTCTCATATCTATCTCCATTTCCCGGAGTAATGTATTCTTTGGTCTTCCTCTTCTCCTTTGGCCTTTAGGATTCCATTTTAGGATTTGTCATGTGACGCAGCTAAATGCTTTCCTCAATGTGTGTCCTATACCACTTCCAGCGTTTCTTCCTGATTTCTTCCTCCGCTGGGATATGATTTGTTCTCTCTCACAATAGGTTGTTGCTAATAGTGTTTGGCCAATGGACCCGAAGTATCATGCATAGACAACTGTTAATAAACATTTGTATCTTCTGGATGATAGCTTTCGTAGTTCCTTAGGTTTCCGCCGTATACAGTAGAACTGTCTTGACATTTGTATTGAAGATGCTGAATTGGATGTTAGTTGCCAATTGAGTTTATAAATATAACTAACAATAATTAAACTTAAGCCCTGGTACGGCTGGGAGTGGGTAGAGTCCGCTCTCCCTCTCCAAATGCTCTCACATGGCCATGCGTATATAGCCTCTGCCAGGGAAGTCCTACTCACTGCCTTCTCGTGGCGGGGGTGTTGTTTACAAAAATGAGAGGACGAAAAGCAAATGTCTGGCGCTTTAACCGGACCCCAAACCAATGGTGCACATGGGCTCCAGTATCCTGAAGGAACAAATGGCGTATGAACCAATCGTTGGTCACCGGCTACCATGGGACTGCATGTCCTCACGATGCTCCACTGCCTTGTGGGTCAGACGTTCAGGTCGAAGGCTCGGGGTGTGGCCCCCTAAGAAAACCACCTGCTTCGGTTTGGGCACCCGGTCAGTATCACAGCCCTCACACAAATCAATTGAGATTCGTTTGGCGCATATCTATTTGGTGCCTCCCTGTACCTATACTTATGTGTTAAAATAAAATAATAAAAAAACTTAATCTAACTTAATACATCAGAATGATTTAACGGATCAAAATCTAATTTCATCTTTTTTATCAGAATAAACATGATACTAATTAAAAATTGTAATATTATTCCTAAGGGATATATTCAACAATGGGGTATAATGGGAATGAATTCTACATAGATTCTTAAAGATAACATAAGTTAACTAGTAAAACCATTTCATTTACACTATTCATGGTTTACTTATTTCAGTAGTTCATTTTAAATGTATATAATATACATTAAGCGACACATCCATCATTGTCTTCAGTGAGTAACTATCTCACAACATGACCGGGTTGAACTCCACTGGTCAATACTTCTCAGTAGAATTCCAGGATATACCTCTTCAAGTCAGTCACTAGTGAGCATATGTTGATCAATATCAGAAGGGGTTTTATGGAGATTGTAGTAATTTCAATGATTAAGATCATGAGTCAATTGAAGCTAGACAACACCATGGAAAACCTAGAAGCACTGGACGGCCAAATCGTCTTATTGTGGGACTCCTCCTTGGTAATGCGCATCAACGACCTCGCCTCCCTGAGAGATTTGAACACAGGACTTAGTGGTTTCGCTCGCGAGCACTTAACCACTAGACCACTGAGTTGGCCGTCAACCAACGGTAATAATGTCTAACTTCAACTAATCCACGAAATTGAGCGACACATCCACCAAATCTTCCATGATGGTCTGGCTTCAACTGACTCATGATCTCAACCACTGAAATTACTACAATCTCCACAAAACCCCTTCTGGTATAAAATATAATTTTGAATATTAGTAGGAGATTCAGATGATCCTAGAACATAACAATGACTATTATTTTATTTGAATACATAAACATTGGTACAAGGATATACGAGATATATATGCGTCACACAAATAATCATTGTCATTTCATTTTAACTGTGTGAAGGCTATGATACTGCACTTTTCTTAAGGGGCCAAACCTCGAACCTTTGACACAAAGGATGAGCTGAAAAACACCTATAGACTAATCAACAACGTCTTCAATGGCATCAATTTCATAATGGAATAGGAGTAAAACGACAAACTATCATTCTTGGATCTATTAATCCTCAGAACCGATACAGGTAAACTGGAGACCCAAGTGTATAGGAAGCCGACCCACATAGATCAAATTTTCAACTACAATAGCAACAATCCAAGACTTCACAAAATCAGGAAAATAGTGCATAAACATACGAACAAAAATCAAACCAATGGGATAAGCAACCAAAACAAAGAAGTAAACAATAACAAGTTTAAGGTCAACAAGTACTAATAAACATCAAAGTCTACAGAACAAGCTGTGAGCCATATATGGAGAAATTTGAACAATTCACTTCTACCTCAACTTTGTGATGATGATGATGATGTCGTTGAGAAAAACCATGAAAGCTCCACGACCAAACCATCTAGCTAAAAGAAGAAAACTCCAACAAAAAATCATCCAACTGAGTTACCAATCATTTCCATCATCATAAAATAACTAATTTATTACTTATTTTATTTATTTTAACACATAGATATTGGTACAAGGAGGCACCAAATATATATGCGCCACACAAATCTCATTTGATATGTGTGAGGGCTGTGATACTGCCCGGGTGCCCAAACCTAACCAGGTGGTTTTCTTAGGGGGCCACACCCAGAGCCTTTGACCTAACGGTCTAACTCACAAGGCAGTGGAGCATTGTGAGGAGATGCAGTCCTATGGTAGACGGTGACCAACGATTGGTTCATACGCCATTTGTTCCTTCAGGATCCTGGAGCCAGCCCATGTGCACCATTGATTTGATTTGGGGTCCGGTTAAAGCGCCGAACATTCGCTTTTCGTCCTCTCATTTTTGTAAACAACAGTAATGCCACGAGAAGGCAGTGAGTAGGACTTCCCTGTCAGGGGCTATATACGCGTGGCCATGTGGGGGCATTTGGAGAGAGTGAGCGGACTCTCCCCACTCTCAGCCATATCAGAGCATTTGTAGGCACTAATTTATTATTCATACAATAATTAAACAACTTGACACAATACATTGATGAATTTAAGTGTCCACATTGATAAATATTACCCGAATTCTTACTTTATATAAACGTTTATACCTTCAATCCCTTAACAACCACTTGATTCTAATAATTCAAATTCTTTTCATTCAATTTATATGGGGAATAAGTAAAAGGAAATGGAAAAAAATAAAAGAGAAAACAAAACAAAACAAACATTTCAAAGTTCTCTAACTACAATAATCATACATAGATACAAATTCCTTTTATAAACAATATCATAGAATAACATTTTATATAGTTGCTATATCACCTATCTACCATAAGTATTATACACACTGAATTAAATGCTTATTACATTGATTCATAAATAATTGAGAGGAAGTAGGCCATACACATGGAATAGTAGTCGTAGTCGTAGTCATACTCGTAGTCGTAGTCGTCATCGTCGTCGTCGTAGTAGTAGTAGTAATAGTAGTCGTAGTAGTCGTAGTGCTAGTAGTAGTCGTAGTAGTAGTGTTGGTAGTAGTAGTAGTAGTAGTATTAGTAGTAGTAGTAGTAGTATTAGTAGTGTTGGTAGTAGTAGTAGTAGTAGTAGTAGTAGTAGTAGTAGTAGTAGTAGTATTAGTGGTAGTAGTAATATTAGCAGTCTTAGTAGTAGTAGTAGTATTAGTAGTCTTAGTAGTAATAGTAGTAGTATTAGTAGTAGTGGTAGTAGTAGTATTAGTAGTAGTAGTAGTAGTAGTAGTAGTAATAGTAGTAGTAGTAGTAGTAGTAGTAGTAGTATTAGTAGTCGTAGTAGTAGTAGTAGTAGTGTTGGTAGTAGTAGTCGTAGTAGTAGTATTAGTAGTAGTAGTAGTAGTAGTAGTAGTAGTAGTAGTACTCATAGTAGTAGTAGTAGTAGTAGTAGTAGTAGTAGTAGTAGTACTCATAGTAGTAGTAATAGTAGTGGTAGTAGTAGTGTTGGTAGTAGTAGTCATAGCCATAGTAGTAGTGAGGAGGGGGATTGTATAAGTCAACATTTCATTATTAAAGAAAGAAGATAAAAATTAATAAATATGTCACTTATAAAATAAATGGAAAACAGGAGGGGGGGTATAATTATATATATATATATATAGATAGATAGATAGATAGATATACATAACATTGAATGACGACAATAAAGTTTCAGTGAAGTGAGTAATTTGTTCCCTATAACAACTGTTCATATGTAGATTATGGGTAAAGTGTACAATTTGTATCTATTTTTTCAGACAATTTATTGTTTATTTTGTGATATTATGGATTGTAATTGAATCAAGGCGATGAAAGTCTTCCGTTGAAGTTGTTTATATATAGTCCTTACTATTTAAATCAAAGTTGAAAAGAAAAAAAACACACAATATGTAGTGTAAATAAACATTTTAGTCTGGCGTGCGATCACTTAATCACTAAACTACTAGACTAGTATCCAACGATGTTCATATGTAACTTCAATCAATCTGCGACTGATAGATCCTGGGTTCGAATCTTGCAAGGCGGGATCGTGGATATGCATTACTGAGTAAGAGTTCCACAATAGGATGAAACAGTCGTCTAGTGTTTCTAAGTTATCTATGGTGGTTTAGTTTCAATTTACTCATGAATTCAATGATGAAAACTCCTTTTGATAAGTAGATTTTTAACCAAAAATTATGCGGCTATTACCGGAAATTATAATCTTGAATACTAAGAGATTTGTAATATTAAACATGAGTAGAAAGAATATAACCAATTTATAGTATTTTAAGGCAAAACGACGATAGTTTCTTGTCTCTCAGTCAGTCAGCTGCAACGTAGGACCAGGCGCATATATGCATCGATCTAGGTTGACATACCGCATTAGCACAGCAACATGAACATCGAATTCATAAAAGTACCTAATTCAGTGGTGGTAATATATAGAAGAAAGATTGCATATAAGGAGATAGTACAGGAAGAAAAAATTAGTTCCTAGAAAGAAAGATATAAAGCAGTTTTAATCTCATACTCTAAGGGAAGACAGAGAGTGTATAGACTTACGCCATTGTGATCGATTCTGAGCCATGTCACCAAAAGTTTCCAACCATTGGTTGCAATAATCACGCGAACCCCAACCTGGTAGTCTGCATCTACCAACATGGATAAGACTAGAAGTTAGTGACTTCAAGCACTGATGCCAGGTTTTGGTTTGGCCGCCTCTAACTTTTTTCAAATCATCCTCAACACCGGTTAGCATTGCGCGTCGTGGTAATCGGTGTTCAGGCATACGCAACACATGGTCCAACCATCTCAGTCGATGAAGATTTACAACCTCATCAACTGATTTACCATCATTCTTTAATACCCTGCGTCTAACCTCAGTATTACTTACTCGGTGATCCAAGCAAATACCAGCAATATTTCTAAGGCATCTGTGGTCAAATACTAGTAACTTACGAATATCTTCTACTCTTAAAGGCCATGTTTCGCGGCCGTATAGTAGAACGGGAACGAACTGCCGCGCAGTATACTCGTCCCTTAATGGATAGACGGATATCTCGCCTTCGCTATAAATGACGTAAGTTGGCAAAAGCCAAACGAGTTTTCCAAATCCGTGCAAAGATTTCGTCAGACACCAACCCATTAGGGCTGATCAGACTTCCAAGATAAACTTGTAGTCATTCAGTAGCAAGTGTAAGAAATCACACTATGGGATAGAATCAGTTACCTCAAAAACTAGAAATATCCTGTATGAATAAATAGGATTTCATATTAGTTTTCTATAGTCACTCAAAACTAAACGAAGAACATCATAATATTCAGTCAACAAACACTCATAAACTATAAGACAAGGTGATCAGTAGTATGTTGTCCAAGATGGTATTAGCTACTACCACCACCACTGGAAAATGATTTAATTTAAATGAACCTATCAAATGAGAAGAAACTTTTTTGACGATCTGAATAGTTTTTTTTTTAATAATTTTTATCAAGAACAGTGAAACATTGAGCCGGCATCCAATAGTCTTAGTGTCTAGCATCAACCAATTCACGAAATTGAGCGATTAACTTCCGTTGTACTAAGGTAGATAACTTCATGACTGAATTCTCGGAGTTCTAGTTAAAAGCTGTGATCAGTGGAGCTAATCCTTGTCAAGTAGAGACAGGTATCTACCTCAGTACAATGGAAGATAATCACGAAATTTAGTGGATTGGTGGATGTTACACAATAACACCATTGGATTCTGGCTCAATAGTTCAGCTAGTTAAGCGTTCGCGTGCAAGGCTTAAGGCTCTGGGTTCGGATCTCGCCAGCGGGATCTTGAATGCTCACTACTGAAGAGTCGCACAATAGGACGAAACGACCATCCCGTATGCTTCCAGATATCCAAAAGTGGTCTAACATCAATCAGTTCATGATCTCAATCAAAAAACTTAATAATCTCCACAACTATTTTACTGATAATAATGAAACATTTCATTCACAGTTACTTTCAATACAATGATATATACAGAACATTGAAAAGAATTTGATACTTCAATTCCATTGACTGATGATTTTCAATTGGTTATCTAATAAAGTTTTGATCATGATGATAAATAAAAATTGGACAGTCTTCACATAACCATCGTACTAACCATATATATATATATGCTCACTAGTAACTAATAACAAAAGAGGATTTCCACAGTCCTGGTATAAAAGAACTATGACTAATGTAACACGACCATGTCAAATATGAGATACTATCTACTGAAATAGATAATATTAAATAGTCATTGTGAAATGCAACAATTTGATTAGTTAAAGATTTAAAAGATTCTTTGGTAACTCATTAACTTAAATAAGTAAACACTTTCCACATGACCTTTTAATTATTTATTTTAACACATAGATATTGGTACAAGAAGGCATCAAATACATATGCACCACACAAATCTCATTTCATATGTGTGAGGGCTGTGATACTGCTCGGGTGCCCAAACCGAAACAGGTGGTTTTCTTAGGGGGCCACACCCAGAGCCTTCGTTCGACCTGAAGATCTGATCCACAAGGCAGTGGAGCATCGTGAGGAGATGCAGTCCCATGGTAGTCAATGATCAATGATTGATTCATACGCCATTTGTTCCTTCAGGTTACTGGAGCCCATGTGCACCATTGGTTTTGGGATCCGGTTATAGCCGGTGCCGAACATTCGCTTTTCGTCCTCTCATTTTCGTAAACAACAGTAATGCCACGAGAAGTCAGTGAGTAGGACTTTTCTTGGCAGAGGCTATATACTCGTGGCCATGTGAGAGCATTTCGTGAGGGAGAGCGGATTCTCCCTATTCTCGACCGTACCAGAGCATTTCGGGGCAAACAAGATATACTTTTCATTTGTTTAAACGGATATTTTCACTAAAATAATTATTCTATTATAAATTATAATATAAACAATTCATTAGATTATTTGAATATCTTTCATAACAACATGATTTAATGGCATAACACAGAGGTGAAACACTTAGCAACAACAACAACAACAACAACAACAAAAGGACAAACAATGGGGGTTAAGAAATATTCACTTGTTATCCCATATTCTGAATTTTTTAAAAAAAAAAACAAAAAAAAACTTTAACATGAACATTCATTTGAGGTTATGCCCAAAAAAAAACAAGGTGGGTGGCGGCCGAACGACAAAGGATTAGTCGCCTACTCTTATTAGATTATAATATTACTGAACATGTTTATGTAATGAAGTGATTAGGAGATGAGGGGATAAGGAGATGTACTATCTAAATACAGAAATACATTATACATCATATAATATATGTATATTTCATTTGATAAACAATCTTCAACATGTGAGCATATGAAGTGAACATATTCAAAAAGAAGTATTAATTCAATTCAAATTAATTTCTATCATGGTGGTGAGATTTTGTGAATGAACACTGTTGGATACCGACCCAGTAGTTGAGTATTCGTGCATGAAACCAACAGGTTCTGGTTTTGAATCTTGCAAGATGAGATCGTTGATATGCACTGATGAGGAGTTATACAATAGGACGAAACGACCATCCAGTGATTACAAGTTTTTAATGGTGGTCTAACATTAATCGGTTCATGATCTTAATCAATAAATTAATAATCTCTAGAACCCTATACTGATATCTATCAATTATTTAATCTTTACTAGGTAGTTGTTTTACAGAAATCATTCATACTTCAAAGTTACTTAATTACGCTTGTTATCCCCAATGGAGCATAGGCCGTCAACCAGCATTCTCCAACACTCTGTACTAGGCCTTCCTTTCTAGTATACAGCCCCTGCCAGGGAAGTCCTACTCACTGCCTTTTCGCATCACGGGTGTTGTTTACAAAAATGAGAGGACGAAAAGCGAATGTCCGGCACCGGCTTTAACCGGATCCCAAATCAATGGTTCACATGGGTTGGCTCCAGTATCCTGCCTGAAGGAACAAATCGCGTATGAACCAATCGTTGGTCACCGGCTACCATGGGACTGCATCTCCTCACGATGCTCCATTGCCTTGTGGATCAGATCTTCAGGTCGAACGAAGGCTCGGGGTGTGGCCCCCTATGTAAACTACCTGCTTCGGTTTGGGCACCCGGGCAGTATCACAGCCCTCACACATACCAATTGAGATCTGTGTGGCGCATATGTATTTGGTGCCTACTTGTACCGATATTTATGTGTTAAAATAATAAAATAAATAATCTCTCCAATTGTCGTTGATTCTTCTCATGTCTTTCTTTATTTCTCGGAGTAGTGTGTGTTTTTTTGGTCTTTCTCTTCTGTTTTGGTATTCATGATTCCAAGTGAGGGTTTGTCTTGTGATAAAGTTGGATGCTCTTCTCACTGGGTGTCCTATACCACTTCCAATGCTCCAACTTTGTTTTGTTCCTTCATTGGAATGTGATTGTTTTTCTTCCACAGTAGATTGTTGCTGATAGTGTATGGCCAACAGATTAGAAGTATTTTGCGTAGACTATTATTAATAAGCATTTACATCGTCTGAATGATGGCTTTCTTA